AAGACGCAGAGAGGGTCGCCAAATAGGGCGTCGTAGTCGGCACTGTTCCCACGTCACGCTGAGTTGCATTCTGCCTCACCTGAGAGTTGGTTGCCGTAAAGCGAAAGATATTCCAGCTTGCCGCAAGCTCCAAGCTCTCCCGGGATGGGCCCTGCTCAAAACAAAAGAGCCAAATGGTGAACTCGGAAGTTAGCAGCTGTGGATGTGGGTGCAGTGTGTGCGTTGTGTTTTCGTCCTGATTGTATTCAATATGGCGTCAGTCCCCCCATTGTTCGTCGTGAGACGTCTGCTCAATTTTCAGTGTGGATTTTGGTTCTTTGTACAACTACAACCATCGAGGGTCACACAGGAGGGGATAAACACCGGGGCTTGCCTCTTCTTCGTATGTTTATTTTCGTGCCCCAACTTCCTCCTGCGGTGCAGGCTGCATTTTGTTTATTATCGCGAGAACGGTCCAGCCGTCCCTTTCCCTCGTCCACGCTCCTAACGTCGAAGTTTGGTACTCACGACGGCTTTTCAGTTTGTTCTTTGCGTTCACCCTCAACGTTGTACTTCTTTCGCCCCATGGGGATTCGAACTCACGACTTTGCCACTAGCGGTTTCAAGGTTAACAACAGGCCACCGGAGCGACCGACTGTGACACGTGAACGTTGCGGCCAGCTGGTAAACACCATCCGCCCGACCTACCGCGTGGGCGAGACACGAAAGGAATCAATCTTCGCACGCCNTGCGGCCAGCTGGTAAACACCATCCGCCCGACCTACCGCGTGGGCGAGACACGAAAGGAATCAATCTTCGCACGCCATCCTATCTCACCAGTCAGATTGTTGTTGTGCATGTCAAGCTTCTTCAGCTCGCTGAGAGCTCCGAGCGCCTCGGGAATGGACCCTGCACAAGACAAAAGCACAATGAGCCGCATTGCCTGGTCCAATTCCAAATCTAACGCAGGACATATGTGTCGCCCACGCCTTGTGTGTGCTGTACGGTGCTCTACAACCTAGCCGAACTGTTGTCCAGAAGCCAACACCAGCCATGAGACAACGCGTATAATTGTTTCCCTCAGAATGCAGGTCAATTCGGTTCGCGACGCTGGATTCGGTTCGCGACGAACACGATTAGCATATCGCACTGACCGTTAGGCCCAGCATCCGGACCTCTTAAACGTCTCTCGCGATACAACCCGCCGATCTTCTCACGGTCGTACCTCTTCAAGGGTATCGTTTCCGGTTCTAGGGGTACAGATGCAGGGCGTTACAAAGCGGTGCTCTAAATCACGCCAGGCTTTACCTTTATCATATATTCGGGAATTGTGAGATTGATATCGTCCCGAAAGTACTGCTTGGAAGGTCATGGACGCTCGTGGGGAGCAAAGGGCGTCAATTCGCTTCAATCAACACAGGGACGATCATCCAATGACAACTCGATGCCGACACCAAGCAGATGGCACAGTAAGCGAATTCACAACGCGGACTAGACATTGCAATACCGTGGAGGTTGTTGTTCGGCAGGGCCAGCTCCACCACACGGCCCGCGTGGTTAAGTCTGACCCCCTGCCAAGTAGCCAGCCCCGCCTCCGTGTTCCAGTTCCTTTTCCTTTTCCAATTTGCTCCATCAGTCGAACGATACAACGCAATCAGTGCGGCACGATCCATGGAAGACATCTGAGCCTGAGTCATGTGGTCCATATCTGCTTCCCGTGACGAACCAGATACGGGTTCAGTGGTAGCTCCATCTGGCTTCCCAGGCTTGTCGCCCTGTGTCCAGGAACTGGTGCGTGCGGCGGGGTTTTCCGCTGTTGGGTCTTCGCGTTCAGCTGCCTGCTTCTGCTGCCGCAGTCTTGCCCTCCACGAATCAAGACTCTCGTCTTTCGCCGGCCCTCCTGAATCGCACGATCACCAGGCAAGAGTGAAACGATATGCGCAATCCTTCCCATGACCACACTTGACTTGTCACGGCGCTGGACGAGTTAGTTCAATATTGCTCTACAAGAAAAGTCAGATATATATATTTCTATCAAATCGATGTCCACCAAATATTCGTTTCCCCACTTTACTCTATTTTCACTGATTTTGCTTTTGCGGGACATTCCCGGGCGTATCCTTGCCAGCATGATCGTACACTCGCCCTTTGTGGTTACTGAGAGAGCGACAGAGAGAGCGGCAAGACACAGAGCCTCCATGGTGCCTGATCGAATGTCTGCACCAAACTCGTGGACAACAGATTATCGCTTCGCATTCATGGTGCTCTGCCTGCAGCAAAGAAAGCGACTTTGATACGACATGCTGCTATATCGCATCATCGATACTACCCGACCTAAGGCTACCACCCCACAAACGTCTCTGGAAATGTTATGACTTTGCTGGGACGCCACCGGTCGCACACTATTAGCTCACCGAATTTGTCTACTTTGCAACCATCGTCTCACGAAACAATACATCGGCTATCACAGATAAACAACTTGATACAGCCACACAAGAGTGAGGTGTATGTCTCGTGGATGAATCTAGTCCAGACCCTCTCCCACCACAATAGATGAGTTTGTGTACGTGAAAGCTCGAGAGTCGGGACAGGATGTCGGTGAGTGAGTTCAAACACCTATCAAAAGTTCATTGGTTCGGATATTGTGCTCAAATCCATCTCCGTGGATGCCGTTCCGCCTTAACGGTCGTGCAATGGCCGGTGTTAGGGAAACTTGTTAAAGGTCGAAAAGGTTGTTCATTCGGTCGGCCTCCCCCTGTTTTGTGGTGCATTTGGGGTGGCGTGCAATATCCTACTCCCAAGTATCTTCGAAGAGCAGCGCAATCTCAGGATCCTCATTCGTCGTTTCACCACTAGTACAAGCTTCGTGACGGCTTTCCGGATGTTCCCTGGAACGTAGCCACTGAAGGAACATCGCACCCACAAGTCACACGCTTACGTCGGAGTGAATTAATTGAGGCCATCAATTTTCTTGCTGTGACAGAGTTACGGCGCCACGACATCTTGAAAAATATCACGGCCTTTTCGGTGTCCAAGAGGCAAGGCATGCTCAAACTACGGTTCTCCGTCTACTCTCCGTCACTGGTCAGGCCGTTGCTGGCGATCTCAAGCCTCCTGAGGTTGCGCAGAGCTCCAAACTCGTGAGTGATGGAACCTGGACAAATATGCATCGCATGCTATTTAAGGCTCGTCATCGTCCCGCCGAACCTTGCGGGTAAAATACGAATGCCGGCGCCGGCTGTACGGCAGCGATCCGTCTACGGTGTTCAACCAACAAGAGGTTTTATGACTGCCGGAGCACGTTCGAGGATGTGGATTGCAAGACAAGCACCGCCGGGTCAGACATGGCCTAGCATACGACGGTCTCAATGCACTTGTCAATGGCTCCCATTGAATGCCA